TCAATCGGATTTTTGTGCAACAAAATCAAAATTAAAATCGATTGATAATTTTGATTATTGTTGATCATGACTTAAATATTATTTGATATTGTTGCTTATCCAATGTAAAATTTTCTGATTGAGATCGGATTATTTTGCAGCACAATCGAAATTATTAATCGATTTATAATCTTGATTTTGCTACAGAATAATCGGATTTTAATCGGAAAATTTTACACTGGATAAGCAAAAATATCAAATAATAGTTAAGTCATGATCAACAATAATCAAAATTATCAATCGATTTTATTTTTGATTTTGTTGCACAAAAATCCGATTGAAAATCGTGAACATTTTTCACTGGGTAAGATGATCTATTTCAATGTCACATTGGAATTCATCGTTCCAAATTTGATAATAAGATTTTTTCATATTTTCATCTTCAAGAGTTGGCCATGGATCATGGAAAATAACATAACCAACAAGATGAATACAATCAGATGCATATTTTAATGGTTCTTGCATATGAGAATACCAAATAATATCAATCTAAAATAAAAAATTAATAATCAAGTTATTATTAATAAAAAATATTTACGTCATATATAGGTGGTATAAAAGAATTTCGATATTTAGCTGCAATGTATAAAAATCTTTCATAAGATTTCTTTAATTGTTTCAATATTTTTGCTTTTATACCAATTTCTCCTAGTCCCATCTCAAAAACCGACCATGCGTTGTAAGTTTTATCATAACATCACCCATAAATTTTCTACATAAAATATAAAACCATTTTCCATCAAGAATAATATCGTCTTCAGTAAATGAAAATGGATTTTCATAATTTTTAGGTGAATTTGATGAAAATTCAAAAGACGTTTTATCCCAATAAGAATAAATCTGTTTAGTATGACTTAATGATTCATATTCATCATATAAAGAATATGATTGAATATTATTATTATTCTCTTCAATCAATGATAATTCACAATATTTTTCCCCAAATTTTTGTTCATATAATTGATATGTATCTAAAAAAGCTCGTTCTTTAAAAAATTGTTCAATATTATTATTAACAATTAATGAATGATCAATAACACGATGAAATAAACGAACACAATCATTTTGATACATTTCAGGTCGAAGTAAATGTGTTTGCCAAATAATTTCAATATCTAATGTAGGAATTAAAAGAACATTTGTTGGAAGAGATGCTTTTAATTGCATAAATTGATAATATCTTTTTATCATTTGTTTTAATATAATTGATTCTTGCCATTGTTCTTGAAAACGAGATATTTTTTCTAATAGTGATATTAATTCAGGAGATATTTTATCAATATCAACTGACAACTCGATTGTCCTAACAAATTGAAAAAAAAATCTTATCTTTGTGTAATAAAAATTTTCTTACATTTCTTGTGATGAGTTTGGATGTTGATGAAAACCAGCAATAGATTGAAATTGATATTTATTTGCCGATCGAATAGAATGATATGAAGAAGGTAAATACAAGATCCATGGAGTTATACTCATATATTTTTTTCTAATTCTTGTAATTTTTTATTTCGTAAAAATTTTTCATGAATCCATTCCATGTAAATATGTTTATATGGTTTTAAATTATGTAATTTTATTGATGGTATTTTTGATTTCCATATAGCATCATGATCAGCAAGCATTTTGAATGATCGACAAACAAGAGAAACATTACATAGATCATGAATCGAAAGATATTGAAATATATGGAAAATAATTTCATTAGGAATATTAATAGATGGAGATTTAGAAAGAGAATTTCGTGTCTCACTGAATGACCAAGTTATATTTGATATTATAAATTCTTCGTTTTCTTTTTTTTTCTTTATCGAACTAAATACTTTTTCCATGATTAAATGATTGACAATGATTTCAAGGTTAAATTTAATCCCTGCAATTTTTCAAAAACTTATCGACAGTATTACGAGCAATTTATTTCTGTAGATAAAGAACATCTTGTATTAATCAGCATAAAGTTACTAATGACAAACTCACGTATATGAGACATATTTTTTTTCTCCTCCCACAACTTATATTTTGTATTTTCGTGGGTAGTGACACTGTTTTGGTCACGAATCATTAAGTTTTGTCTCTTTTGAATTATGTATACAACAACATATGATACTTGTCACATGTAATACAAATAATCGATAATCACTTCCTATTGAAAAATTATATAATTTTATTGAAAAATATATTCTTTCTTTATCATTAACCACAGAGAAAAATGTTCGTCAGTTCTAAAGCGTGATTCAAAAGTTCTGGTTCCTCTCAGAAAAAAGGCTCTTTCTCGCTTATAAGAAATTCAAAAAATTCAAGCTTTGGCATCTAATCCGTTGTAAATGGAAGAATATTACCTTGAATTTTCATACTTCTGTCCCTACTAATAAGGGAGATGTATAGAATAACATTTTAGAAATTTTTTTTGCATAGTCCAAAAATAAAACACAATAAGAATTTGCATGGAAACATGGAGAAAAAATGTAAAAAGAACGATATCAAGTTGGATATATATTGAAAGAGTTATTTGGAATAGATTTATGTTTAAATGATTAGATGCCTTATGCAATTCCTTCAATATTGATTGGTCATTTTCAAACAAATAGATATTGACAATCATTCGTTTTTCATAAATTTTCATTAAAATTTGTCATTTCTCGATTTTTAGTAACATTCTATCTTTTGACTTTCTATTCAATTCTGCTATTGTACTAAATATTTATGTCGTAAAAATACAAAAAAGTCATAGAACAAGGTTTAACAGATATCTCCCTTACTAGTAGGGATAGAGATATGAAAGTTTAGAATAATATTCACTTAGTTGCAAGAGATTAAATCGCAAAGTTTGAGCGTTTTTTGGATTTTTTATAAGCGAGAAAGAGCTTTTTTTCTGAGAGGACCCAAGACTTTTGGATTACTCTTTGAGTTCTCTTAAATTTTCACAGAGGATGCGGATTCTCGATGCTATCGTAAATTATCTGTAAAGAGAGATTTTGTGGGTCCATGAGAAAGTCGATATTATGGTTGGCATTAACATATAGTATTTTTTTTACATCATGCAACTCCTCAAAGAAAGCTCGAGTTACGAAGCAGTTTTTAGGCTCCTGTGATGTAATTTGATGGAGTTACAGGTTTTGAAACATAAGAGGAGTCTCTGAAAAATCAAGAAAACAAATCAGCTTCATTGTTTCGTTTAAATATCTTTGTTATTTTTGCCTGTTCAGATCGGACACCTCTCATTCGAAAGAGCACGTAAAAGAGAACAAAATACATTTTACATCTTCCTCAAAAACTTGAGTCTTAATATCAAAAAATCTTTTTTTCCCGAAAAACTCGGCATTTTTAAAACCAATTTTTTTTGGGAACATTATATTTGATCAGTAAAATAAATGAAATGATCAGTAAAAAGAAATATGAATGATCAGTAAAAATATTGAATGATCAGTAATTAATTGGAAAATGATCAGTTTATTATATATAGCTATCAGTAAAAAATAGATGCTTGATCAGTAAAAAATGCATATTTGATCATTAAAAAAATAAGTTTTGCCTATATAAATTATAATTTAGTATAAGAAAAATAACATTGAATAAATAAAAAAAACAAAAAGTATAAGTAAGAAAGAATCCAAAAGAAACATGTGCTAGAGTTTAGAGAATGAATGAAAAAAAAGAAACAAAAATTGAATTATTGTGCCAGCAAAGCAGGTTTAGCATTTGCTGGTCTACCTCTTTTTCTTTTCTCACCAATTGGTACTGTCTTTGCTGCTGCTGGCGATTTACAATATTTCAAACGAATTGCCATACCGACAGCGTGTTTGCATATATAGTTCTTTAAAAAAGCTGGGCAGTTGCATTTTGATGTTTTCCAATCTGAACCATTTTCCATTTCCATACACCAAATATCAAATGACTTTTTGAATTGATTAAAAGTTGTCTATTTTTTATTTTCATATTTATCTAAGGTGGCTTGTGTAATGGATTGTAAATCACGAGCTGGTATATAATATTTTTTTTGAGGAAACATTTGGAATACATACTATGTCTTTTATTAATTTAGCCCATTGATATGATGAAGTCCATAATTGTAAAGATATTGTTGGTTCTGTAGCAAATAATTTTACATTAATTGAGGAAGTATCTCGTTCAATTGACCAGTTATTAACAATATTTGAAGCTATTGTTAAAAATCTTGATAAAACGAGACGTTCTCTAAACGTTCCATCGTCTTTAATTGTTTTATTGATTGCCTCTAAGGCATCGTTTGTACTTGGTGTATAAAGTTGTAAACCTTCGTACCAAGTATCATTTGATCTAAGCCATTCGTTATCGAAATAATTCAAAAACTCTAAGATTGATTGGTTTGTTTGTTTGTTGCTCATTTTCCATTTCTTGATAAATAATGCTGATGCTAATTTAAATATAACTGTAGAATCACACAATTGAAGCATTTCAATATCTTCCATAATTTCTTTTGCAATATCTTTATCATTTATATGACATATACGATTTTCAACATTCCTTTTCATATGTGCCCAGCACATTATATGATAATAAGAATTGCTAAAAACATTTTTAAAACCATTTTTAATCGAATCAGCAGCATCACATATCAATGCAATTGGTTTTAATAAATCTTTATTTATCCTTTGCAATCCAATTTGAATACAATTGAAAATAAATTCAAAATCTTTTGTTTTTTCATTTGAACATATTGCTAAACCAAATGGATGAAATGCTTTGTTTAAATCAGTTGTACCAATGATTAACACTGGAAAACCTTGCCATACTAATTTATATGTAGCATCAGAACATAAATGTGACGACATAGATATGATGCCGAGCAAACGAACAGATGATATAAAGATACGAAATTTATTTCCACCATCAT